TTTATATATAAAAAAATGCCATTCCACATTTAGATATTTTTCCAATAAAAATGTAATAATAATTAATATAATAAAATAATACCAATTATACCATATAATATACTAATAAATAAAAAAACATTCAATTATAAAGGCAATTGAAATACTATCACAACAATTTGATATTAATAACAATAGTTTTATTTATAAATATTAGTAATTTCCCGTTCTGATCAATTAAAAACGATGCAAATAAAAAGCACCCCAATACTATCCAAAACGAAAGAAGTTTCTTCCCAAAACACTGTTTTGACTTTGAAAAATCACAAACGCACAAAGCCAGACAACGAAATAAAAATGTATAAAAAAGCATTAAAAATACAAAGAAAAGTCTGTGTTGGATTTTTTAATAATCACTTTGATCCCCAAAGCCGAATTACTAATTTCTTTATTAATTGTACTTTTCATTCGACTGAACTGAATTAAACTTGAAAACCAGAGATGTTTGATTCCTTTGTATCTCAGTGTTCGAGTGCGATCGGTTTCAAGGAGGATATGTTTCGCTTTATGATGGCGTTTCTCATGGAAATCCCAATAACGCTCTTTCTTCGGTATCTTCCCGACAACCCTCGTTTGAAACACATGATCTATGGATGCATCGGGATCTTCATTAGTTTCTTTATCTACAACGGGATGACCTTCTGTGTCTTCATTACGATGCTTCCCGTCTATTTTATCATGAAATATATGCCTAATAAAACAGGCGCTTATATCTGCTTTGCTCTTTCATTGGGATATTTGTTAACACTTCACATCAAACGGATGCTCGACAACTACTTGGGATACGATTTGGACTTCTCTTCCGTCCAAATGGTCCTCACCATCAAATTCACAACCTTTGCCTTTTCCGTCGCCAACGCAAACGACAAGGACTACGTCTGCTCAAAATACACGGAACAACACAAAATTAAGACGTACCCAACACTCTTGGAATTCTTCGGGTACACTTTCTTCTATCCCGCGTTCTTCTCAGGTCCAGCTTTGGAGTTCACCGAGTACATCGCCTTCGTCGACATGTCGATGTTCGACGAGTTCGGAAAGAAGGTCCCGCCAATCAGTTTGAAAGCCGTTGGGAATGTTGTGGTGACAAT